TTAATTTACAACCATCAGAAGAAGACCCAATTACAATACTCTTAATATAAAAAACTACTAAAAACTATCAAGATGAACTAACATATAAACATATTACATAAGTCAAAGTATAGACGCCCAAAGTTCCCTACGTGCACGATGTTTAAAAAGATCAATGTTCATACGGTTCTTAGTGTCCTCGTTTAACTTATTATCAATATTATTATAGTTTATTATCAGCAAACTGCACACTACTTTCCGATACGTGACTTTATTGCCTTTATTAACCATGCAGTCTTTTTTCTGCCTTTTGTGGGGGTGTGTTCGAGCAACTCGCTCGCTACACGATGAGGTACCAGGAATCTGATTTACATCTTGGCTTTTATTCTTCTTAATCTTCTTACAACTTCTGCTTACTCTACTTCTACTCTACTTTTCCTACTCTTCTCTATTAACTAGTTCAAGTATAGTAGCGGTTTTAATAGCCAAAGCTGGACATGTTTGGGCTAGCTGACCGGAAGAGTTTCCATTGTATAATCTTATCGCTAACATTGCAACAGGTTTGCTATTGTCAGGGAATAGACTAGCCTACGCACAGCCGCAACTGATAAGTACCAAATAACGGTGGTCAGCTCTAACACCACAAACACGACCACCTGTAACATTCCTAATATGGCAATAAGTAAATTCGTGAGCTAAGCATAACTTCAAGTACAAGTAAAAACAAAAGATCAAAACAGGAAAACAGTACGTGGACAAAAACAAGACTTAATGAAACTAAACTCAAAAGTTAAGATAGATCCGTCTTAAAAATAACTTTCAAAATACTTCACAATACTTTGCTAATATGTACTAGATACTGAATTGAAGTTTAAGGTATTTTGAGATGGATATTTAATAAAATATTTAAAAACTCTATAGGTCAATTGATTAAATTCAATAATATTAACTGAGGTTGAGGTGAATAATTGTTATATATACACACCAAGTGATCTAAAAACTCGCTAGTAGCATCACTGCTCAACCTATGTTCCTTTAGTGAAATCAATAAAAAAAGTCCACCCAAACTTTATTATGGCCTGATCGGACGCTTCTGCTATTGTGTGTTCTCAAACGGCGCGATGTGAAATGATAGACTTTTCTCTGAGCCTGTTGACGCAACCATCCAGAAATCTCGACCACTAATATAACGTACCGTTAATCGCTTTGTGTACGTTCAGTTCATTTCCTACGCTCTCTTCACTTCAAAGCTACAAGTGCGTGCCAAGCGAAGGATTCGCCTGGATCAAGTTTCCCGAAAACTGACGTTACAAGAAAAAGCGTTTTCTGATTGGACGTATCCCTAACGACACACCCCTGTCACACCGCCGGCTAGAAAAAATAAACTGATCGGTCAAAAATAGCCTACTGCAGGCGAGAAAAGTTCGTTTCCCGACTGACCACCTAACCAGCAGAAGCCAGAAACGGGCTTTGAGAAAGTCAAGATGAATTCTTGCGTGGACATGTAGCCGTAAACATAAGACGCGCAAAAGTTAGATCTTTACAGTATTTTCAAACATGGTAAATCATAGTTTTTTTTGAACGCTTTAACGTTTAACATCCATGGTTTAAAAGAAAACGTCGAAAGTTTAAATTACTAGCCCTTCTGAGAAGAAACGTAGACCTTTATTTGCTTCTGTCACCCTGTGAATGAGAACGTTTTTTTGTCGCCTCTTGCATATGATGTCAACAGCGGCTTCGATCAAGGTGAGCGTTTTTTAATATCTGCAGTGTTCTTTGCCTTAATTATTAACTTGTTGGTGCTTACAATGTTCTCCATCAATTAACTTCTATTTATAGGCAAAAATAGTCTTGCGAGGAAATCCCAAGTTCACAAAATAGTCAGAAGGCGGCCTCGTTTTCCTCTGTAGTGGAAAACATTGCCGTTCGAGCGTATAAAAAGTCAGCTAAAATGAATAACTTCACAACAAATCGCGCTGTTTATACACCATGAAGTATTTTCTTACCTTCAAAATCATCAAGACTAGGATATTCTTGTATTTTTTTAAAAAGTTCCGCCTTAATCTGAAACTTTGGCAAAACACCCAGCTTACCACAGCGATTTTGTTTTGCTTTTTATTATATACAGACTGAGAAATACTCACCAAAAAGCTATGTCGTAAATTTTCGTACGCAAATTAGTTCTAGCCAATCAGAGGAGGCGAACGATGGTTTTCACACGTGAAAAAAATGAGACGTCCAATCAGAATCGCGAACGATGTTTTTTCACGTGTGAGAAAAATGATACGTCCAATCAGAAGCCACAGAGGTGTGTGAGTTTCGCGCCAAAATTCCCGCCTTTTATTTCAGCTTGCAGCGCCGCTTCGCACACATTCAACGAGAAACGTTTTACTCAAAGAGTTTTTCTCGCTAAAAAAGTGAAAAACATTTCGGAAATGGAGTGGAATAGTCTCGTTTGATTCACTGTCGATACAGAAAACGGTAGAGAGCCGGCGAAACAACAGCGGAAAGGGATAAACAGAACGAGACGTAAGCTTTTGTTGTGCTTTTTGTCGGAGCTACTTTGCCTTTCATTCAAGCTTAAGCATATATTGAAACCGGCCATTTTACTTAAATTCACTCATTTTCAATTGTGCATTGAGAACAAACAGTTAAGATTTTTTATAGGTCTTGGATTACCTCATATCCTTACCGTCATTTGTGTGTTTAACAAACGTTTTTACTAAAAAGCTGATACTTCGTTTTCGTTGTCATTTTGTGGTAAGTGTGTAGCGGCAAATTTTAGAATTTTTGGAAGATTTAAAATAAAAAGGCCGCCAAAATGATGAATGTCTCAGTATGTATATAAAAAAAACAGAATACCGCATGGAACGTGCTTTGTACGGTATTTACTCACTCCTTGTTTTTGTATCAGACATCTTACTCGTTCGCTGCGCTCACTTGTTCGATTTCTGATACGTCAACAACCCGTGCGTAAATACCGTACGTCAGCACTTTCCATGAAGTATTCTCTATATATTCACCGCCTAGCGCGGTGAATATTTAAGCAATAGACCACACTTTCTATGGGTTTACCGGCGTGATAACCCACNCAATCATGACTCACGATTTAAAAGCGCCGAACTTTCTCAAAACTCAGTTCAGTCAAACAACAAACAGCAGCACTTCAAAACACGAGTTTTTGCACTCATTACATGATAACTTATGAAAGCTGTTTTTCAGGAAAAGTCAACACATATTCATGCGAAGGTACAATGAAGTTTGTTTGCTACAGAAGTAGAAAATTGAACATCAAACTGTACGCAGCTGTATTATATGTTGAGTCGATCCGTAAACATTTCGTGCTTACAGACGAAACTGGCAGTTGTTGTAATGGAGGACTTCATTTACTTTTTACAAGGTGCAGTGCATGGTTTAAGATCTGTTTTCTGGACTTTATCATGATCAAGACATGTTGCGGTAACGACGTAGCTGCATTTGCGAAGTTGTCGCATGCATGTAACGTATGTATGTACCGCGACCGATGGAAATATGTCTGCAGTGGTAGCTCTAAATTTGGAGAAAGGTTTCTTTGCCGTAGCCACATATTAGCGTTAATATTTGTCGATTTGTGAAGTCAGGTGGTTTGAAGTTCGTTAGTATTTGTCGATTTGTGAAGTCAGGTGGTTTGAGTAGGTTATGGCATCGATATTACCGAATAATTTGTAGAAATGTTGGAAAAAACCAGCGCTAAACTCTGACATCTTTCATCATCGTTTACAGCTTGTTTACAATCTGCAGCGGCCGATTTTGTACCCTAACTTGATCAGATATCTCTGTTCGGAACAATTTCTTTCATTCAGGAATTTAATTTTGACATAAAATAAATCAAGACTGCTAAAACTATCCGTTTTGTTGCTGATGGGCACATGGTTAAGCTTTCCTAAAGACTTTCTACACCAGAAATTCACACAGTTGTTGTCTTTCTCTGCGATTTGGCATCGTCGTGAAATGTAAACTGTTTTCCACCTTTTACTTTATAACTTAAAGCTATGGCAGTAGCGAATTGTGATGCTCTGTAATAAAATGTGGAAACCAACACTTTTTAATATTAAGAAGGGCTGGGTAAGTAACTTGTTCTGTTTTTTATTCTTTCTAAAATCGTTGTTTGCAGATCAATAGCCCGTTTTGTTTATGGCTCGTGTTCCGGGGGCCTTTTTCTATGGGTTTACCGGTATAATAAACCATAGGTTTTTGACCAATCAGATCGCGCGTACTATCTCAGTTATTTTATAAAACGTCATAGTCCGCGATAAGTAACCAATCAGATTGCTTGAATCACCAAGATCACTGCGTGTGTATATGCTAAAAGGAGATATACCAATACTTGTTGTGTTTAGTGACTTCCCCAATAGTGGAGATCACAATAGGGTGTACCTCTAAGGTAGTTAGCACATAATATGAACCGCAAGAAGAGAGTTAACTGTACCTATAGTCTTTATGCATTTCGTTTTCGATTTTACAGAGTGCATCCGTATACAGATCAATATTGAAAAAAGTAGGCAGATTCATACCCATCCCTTCCCGCACATCTTCTAAGTTAAAACGTCCGTCTATCGTAGATTATTTAGCAACTGCATGGCGTTCATGGGCTCCAGTGTATACTTATGATCACCGTGACAAGTCACACAGAAAACTGCATTGCTAATTTAATGTATTATTTTGACTTCCTTTTAAGTTTTATCACCAATTTATTTCTTACTTGGTCTTCAAAACAGCTTAAAAGAAAATCTATCCTCATATTAAGTTTCAAGGAAACTGTTTTTGCTTGCTAACGCGATCGAGTAGTACGTTGTGCTATATTTAAGTGTTATAAAGTTTTTTTTTTCCCTTCGCTTAATTAAAGTTATACAAATTCAGATATTGAAGTTAAGTGCACTTTTTTTATTTTTTTTGTTATTTTTTTTGTTCCTTTCTTTAATACAATGAAGCCTCCTTAAGTGAAATGATAGAATATGTAATACTTTACTTGCACCTTGTTTTTAGTTAGTGCCACAATAACGGAGAGAACAACCACCAGGTGTACCACTAAGATAGTACACATAATATGAACCACAATTTCTCACTTTGATGTTTGTTGACCATCGACAGCAGTTACTATTCCAATGAAAACACACCGTCCTGTTGACCTGACCGTCTGCTACTGTAGGGTGTCCACCATTCAACCAGCCGGTTGCATCAGTGTCACACCTGTTGGTAGGTGGACATGAAGTTGGCATTCTTGTGCCGGCGGACCCTTCAAAACGAAACCAACCAGGGCCGATACCTCTGTCACACTGACGGTTGGGCATTCCATAAATTATATTCCTGTCAGCATTGTTCAGACTCCCGTAATTTTGACATTCTGACATTAAAAAAGACAATAGTTAAAATGATAAAAACTTGAAGAAGCTGGGAAGCATTGGATAACTATGCGGTTAAAATGTTTTACAACGCTTGTCCCGAGCGGTGAGGAGCGCGAGAAGAAACGACTACTTTCATAGGCTGAGGCGAGATAGAAAGGCTGCTTTGCCGCTTGCTTGCGCGTTTTCTCTCGTTTGTTTAGCTGGCCACCATAGAAACCATATTTCTCAAGCGCCTGATACGCAGTACTCCAGTACTCAATTAGAGCGCCAGAGATTAATTTTGCTCGTCAATGTCATTTAGTTTCATTGAGCGTTCAACACCAAAAAATTTATGTTCAAGTCTTTTCCTGCAATAAATTTCTCATATTGTAAAGTAGATAATTATGCTTTATCAATTTGTAATTGTGAAGTTTGCTGAAAAGCCATTTTATGGGGNAATTTGTTGTTGTTTTTTCTTCTAAATAAAACCTTTGAGTCGCATTTGGGTTGCCATACCTGTTGATTGAATTATTTTACATTGGTATGCCTGTGGTGCGGACGGCCGGTCGCTCGCTCGCTCGCTCGCTCGGTGTACGGTCACGTGATTACCAAATTTTCTTGGATGGGTAGTTTACCACATTTTCTTACCCATGGTGCTCCGCTGCGCGCTTCGCGCGCGAGAGCTCCGCTAAAAACTTGAAGAAGCTGGGAAGCATTGGATAACTATGCGGTTAAAATGTTTTACAACGCTTGTCCCGAGCGGTGAGGAGCGCGAGAAGAAACGACTGCTTTCATAGGCTGAGGCGAGATAGAAAGGCTGCTTTGCCGCTTGCTTGCGCGTTCTCTCTCCTTTGTTTCGCTGGCCACCATAGAAACCATATTTCTCAAGCGCCTGATACGCAGTACTCCAGTACTCAATTAGAGCGCCAGAGATTAATTTTGCTCGTCAATGTCATTTAGTTTCATTGAGCGTTCAACACCAAAAAATTTCTGTTCAAGTCTTTTCCTGCGATAAATTTCACATATTGTAAAGTAGATAATTATGCTTTATCAAATTGTAATTGTGAAGTTGGCTGAAAAGCCATTTTATGGGGTCGGCTGATAACCTATGACTATAAATTACATAATATTTCATTTCAATAGGATTGCTAAATAAAAAAATGATAAAAAATAACAATAAAATCGGAACAAAAAAGCAACCAAAACAACAAAGGTTGGTCAGATATAATTATGCAAATATATTGTACAACCTCAAGTACACAGTTTAAAGACCAGTTCTCATGAAGGACGACTAAAAATCGTACTCGTCCACTTTTTTTTATGGAGTACTGAACTGTATATATCTTATCTTGGGTGTTTCTTGGTGTTGCGGAAACCGACACTTTGGTTTTGTGTTGTGGGTATTGATTAGTGTTCTTCTCTGCAACACCAAGAACTGACTACCATTATGCAGTGCATTATTGCAGTGATGTCTATAAGAAGAGGTCCGTTTTTAATCGCCAAACCGCTAGCTTGGAATATTGCCGCTTAATATAAGAGGTTGCGGGAGACAAAAAAATCCAGAAATGTGAGAAACTCATAGTAATTAAAAGGCTGGTTTAGTCTCATAGCTACGAGACGAGTTCAATCACAATCTAATCGGACTTATGGACGATCCGATCGCTACAAGTGGAAGTCACTAGTTGCGATACAAGTATTCGCTTATAATCATTAGAAATCTTAAAAAAGGAAACTTTTCCATTATCTTGTTCTTCAAAGCTGGTCATGATCGACACATGTATTCGTTCGTCGTAATTAATGAGGCAAGCGAAAGGGGAAACGACCAGAAAAAGATTTTGTGACGAATGAATTGCAGACACAATAGCGCGCGCTGATGACAATACTCATGTCATTCCCGCAATACATATACTTGTTAGGCAGTTTGAGTGGCTAATAAAAAAGAAATTGAGTTTGATTAATTGGCCGGATCTCGCTTCTGGCTTCGTCGACAAGAGATGTGGGTAGTATTAGCTTTAAACTAAAACCCTCTTTAAACAAATAAGGTTAGAGTAACATACTTCTAACGAGTGTAAATAAGGGTCTAGTGAATGGACATCTTCCTAATTCTTGGTGATAATAATTACCGTATGGAATATTAATGCAAGTTTTGCTTTCTCCGACTAGCGGTCTAGTGAATGGACATCCTCCTAATATTCGGCGAGTTGATTACCTGATGCTAGATTGCAAGTTCTGCCATTTCCAGTGTAAGGATTGTTACATGAACAACTAAAGGATCCCACTGTGTTTGTACATGAAGCAAGTGAACTGTGGCAGTTGTGAGTACCGCGGCTGCACTCGTCAATGTCTACAAAAAAGGAACAATACAAGTAAGCGTAATCATAACCTTTGTAACCGTTTTCGTTGCAAAGGGGAAACAAGTTAAACGGAATAATTCTTTTAAGCTTGATAAAAGGAAAAATGATCGCAGGTTTGAATAATCTATATTGTTGCACTTATTGGACAAAAAAAATGTCGCACTTACGCATATCTTACGACTTTGCGCATCTTGCCAACATGGCCCCAGTTGTTCAAAAGATGGATAACCCTATCCAGTCGATAAATCTCTATCCAGTGGATAGCGCAATTGCTTACCTCATACTCACCTACTGAATAGTGATTTATCTGTTAGATAGCGCTATCCAGCGTTTGTACAACCGGCGCCTGTACTTTATTGCTTTCATAATCTGACTGCCTGACATCGCTTGTCTGTTCGTTTACTCCAAGCGGTCATTTCTACTGTAATTTTTTTTTTTCCCCATCTAGCCAAAACATTATTGGAAGGGCAAGAAGAGTACAAATAAAGAAAGTTGTATTGCTGTGTTGTTGCCGGTTTACTCAAAAAACAAACATATCAATTAAACGGCTCAGCAGTGAAGGTGTTTTCATCGCCTGTGAATCCTGCTTTACATGCGCGTGCGTAACATCCCACAGTATTACTACACACCGCATTAACGTCACAGCTGTAAGAACTGGTAGAGGATTCGTCGATATCTACATACAAACATGGTGTTACAATTATAAGAAATTAAAAGCAATTAGTTTGCATACATACATACACACATACATACATACTTACATAATCTTTATTATGCTTACACTCGAATTTTGGAGTAACACGATTAAATACGTTACAAGAAAAAAACTTATGTCTTCACATAAAAGAAAATATATTTACAACTTTATCGAATAGATATATTTTTAGAAATTCATCTGGTGTATTTTACTTGATGTATTTTTTCTGAACACCCATCGTTGCCTGTTTAACTGGGTTACTCACAATAGTGTCATCAGTTTTTGTGAGTTTTTGCGTGCGGTAATTGCTTCAAATACTGCTAAAGACAAATTTAGCATAAACACTTTGTTTTTAAATTACACTATTCAACTTACCAGAGCATGTTCTTCCGTTACCCGAGTATCCTGGTTTGCAAGCGCATGTGTAAGAACCCAGGGTATTGCCGCACACCGCATTTACATCACAGCTATGAGAGTTGGTAGAACATTCGTCGATGTCTGATTAAAAACAAACAAACAAAAAAAACGATGAATGAATTTACTCTACTACAAGTAAAAAAGGCACCGGTCTACGTTGAAAGAGTTTGATTGTATAATTCAAACGCAAAACTGTGAAATAAATACGTTACAATAAGAAAAGTTATGTCTTCACATAAAAGAAACTATATTTACAACTTTATCGAATAGACATATTTTTAGAAATTCATCTGGTGTAGATTAGTTTTTAGTTTGATCATGATGTATTTTTTTATGAAAACCCATAGTTGCCCGTTTAACTGGGTTACACACAATAGTGTCATCAGATTTTGTGTTTTTTTTGCGTGGGGTAGTTGCTTCATATACTGCTAAAGACAAATTTAGCATAAACACTTTGTTTTTAAATAACACTATTCAACTTACCAGAGCATGTTCTTCCATTACCCGAGTATCCTGGTTTGCAAGCGCATGTGTGAGAACCCAGAATATTGCCGCACACCGCATTTACGTCACAGCTATGAGAGTTGGTAGAACATTCGTCGATGTCTAAAAATAAAAAAAAAAGATGAATGAATTTGCTCTACTACAAGTAAAAACGCACTGGTCTACGTTGAAAGAGTTTGATTGTATATAATTACAATTCAAACACAAAACTGTGTTGGAGGTCATGTATCACTAAGTTGATACTCATGATATAGTGGGTAGCTATGGCCTTCTATGTGCTATTCTGACCGGGGGGGGGGGATTTGAAGATGAATAACTTCAAAACCGTTCAAGCTATGACGACTAAACTTAGTGACTTCTCCTAGAAATTATTTTAAAAAGTGGACGTGACGAATACGTCTACATTGACGTAACCATGGCAACCACGTCTTGTTGGCCATCTTCTTCAAAAGTCAGTTGCCTTTTTTAAGAAAGTAGGTGTTAAATATTTTTACTACTGGATAAATTACACTTAATTAAACATTATTCTTCCAAAGAACTATTGTCACTGTTGACGAAATCCTGGTTCTTTAGTGACTAGTTAGCCTGCGAAGCGCAGACGCATTTCCGGTCGTCGCTTCTCTCCCTCCGAAAAATAGCGTCTGCGAACCCGAGCGACAAAACGATTTCCGTGACGTAAAACCTTTTGTTTTGATGTAGGCCAATCAGATCAAAGGATAGAATACAGCTCGAGTGACTCCTCGCGACCTCGCGCGCTGAAGTGTCTTGGATTTTGGAGAGAATTACCAAATACGCTTTGGAACGTGAATTTCACGACCATAACAAGGTTTCCTGCGACGTTGAATGCTGACTTCTTTATGAAGCAACTGCTTCTTAAGCTATGTATGTGATGTGGGCCTTTGGTTTCGCTTTATAAAATACGGTAGTACGTGACATAAACAAAACCTGGACAAAATAATCGCTACAGCGAAAGGAAAGCAACATAGCTTAATGACATCGCGCTCAGACTTATTTATTTCAATTTAACCAGCGCTGACAAAAGGTGGTGAATCAATTACACAGACACATCCTTGACTGATTCAGAAATCTCTAACAATCGCTCGTTAATAATTCTAGTATCGCCACAACACAATGATCTGAAATATTATAAACCTGGGCCAGACCCAGCGTGAAATAAATAGTTACAGCAGTAAATAGATCATAGTCAAAATGACATTTCAGCTACGACGCTTCTACTCATCTCACAAAAAACTATGGAAATGAGAACCTTGAAAAGAACATGTATTTAAAGAAATATACCGGAGCAAATATAAAATGCTTTCGATCTGATCAAAGTTCTATCTGAACCAAGAAGCAACCACGCATGGGAAATCAATTACCACATGTCCTACCTTTCAAAGATAAAGGATATCTACTAAAAAATATCTAAAACGGCACACGACAAACTATCGAAGAGTTCTCCAAGGCATACTTTCCTGCCAGGAACCAGAAAGGAACAGAAGCAACAAACGGCATGATGCGTCTACTGTCATTAGGACAGTTATCGTTTCGAATATGATCAAAACAACTACGTCTGATAAATCATTGACTCCGTAGGCAAATAGATGAAAAATGTCCTCTAATCTTTTCTTCGATATGAATCCTCTTGATACTTATTTCGTCAATCAGTCCCACAATCCTGGCAAATTAACTTTCGTAAACGCGTCGTTCTGAGAAAAAAGGACGGCTATACACAAGCCACGTCGTCCTTTCAATTTCGACTTGAAAACATATCCATCGCGCACGATCCTGCGAGAAGTCTCGCGAGTTAGTTCCTTGATTTTAAGAGCTAAACCGCGATTGGCTAAAAATGTTTTACGTCACGGAAATCGTTTTGTCGCTCGGGTTCGCAGACGCTATTTTTCGGAGGGAGAGAAGCGACGACCGGAAATGCGTCTGCGCTTCGCAGGCTAGTGACTAGTTTGAGATAAAAAAATTAGTAACATGACTAAATTGTATATTCTGAGTTCAATCATAGTTAATGTAGTGAAATTGTTATGAAACCAGTCTAAGTCCTTTGTTATGTATTTTTGTGGACCTGAAGGTGCACAACGTTGCATTCTTAGCATTTTGACCAATAAAAACGTTGCATTAATTTATTTTTTCCGTCAGAATTTGCCAACAGAAAACAAAGGATTGTGCTCCTTCAGGAAGCTTCCAACATAAACTGCGGCACCGTTGTTTTTATAATAAAAAAAATTGATGTTTGCCGCTTTTCATAACAAATCTCCTGTGATAACTATTAATGGTTTAATTTCTAACGGTGTTCGTTTTTCTCGAAATTGCATATTTTGCAGACTTTTTTTGCTTTTAGTGCTAAGCATCCTTAGCTTCGTGTTAAAAATTCCTTGATTGACACTTGTCTCAAGTAATTTTCATTGAAACAATTCAGAATGCCGGATCCAAGACAGCTGTTGGTTCCAGTTCCTTTTCGGTAATAAACGACGTCACCATGACATCACTTCTATTTGAAGGGTAATTATATGTTAGCCAGCTTCTTGATTTTACTTACTATTTAAGTATTTTTTCTGCTTAATGTGTACTTTTAGGGAAATTTGGATTCCGCCAATAATTCTGCCATCAGACTACGTCACTGTGTCAATCAGGTCATGCCCAGAAGTTGGAGATGCTGACTATATTATTGGATTATTGGATATTACTGAATACAGGCCCGTAGGGAGCGGGGTGCGACGGGTGCGCTCACTTCCCTCACAGGCCCCAGAGGTCCACCTTTTTGTTGATCAACTATTTAAAATAAAGGGAATTAATACTATTTTTATTCTTATTCGCTGAATGTGCAGTAAAATTGAAAATACTGTGAAAGAGTTGACAAGCCCACTCACGCTTTCCACAAAATGTTTTTTAACCTTCTTGTAAAGGTATAAAAAAGGGAATTTGGTAATTGCCTACAAGGCCTTTTTTTTCCCTTGCTACGAAGCTTACTGCTTCATTTTGTCCTTAACGGGCAAGTCTGTTTTGGAGGACCCCTAGTGCCAATTAAGCAAATGTGTTCTTCCCCCTTTTCTTTCCATTTGGCTGCTTCACAGCCAATTATAGGGGTGAATCCCGGATCCTGTAGTGCTTGAAGGACCCAGAAGGTATGCATTTTTCCTTTTTTGTGTAGCCTTTTGTTTGAGGATGGTTTAAAAAATCTGCTGTTTTACTAACCGAAAAGTAGTGTTGACGCGGCACCAGAGTCGAGGCTCTCGTTACTGGCTCCACAAAAAGAAAATTGAGCACTTTCTCTTTCCATTTTTTGTCTTTGAACGGTGTATGTTTAATCTTGAAATGCAGCCTGTTTTAAAACCACCACATGGTGATCGCGCGGTAGCAATTTTGTTGAAAATGGATATCCTTCACTAAGGTTTCCAAATATGTTAACATAGCTCACTTCCGAAAAAAGTGATAGCCTGGGACCCAAACTAGATACGCGCGCATTTATGGGATTATTTGGTGAGACGCGAATGTAAACAAACATGGCGGAAAGAGAAGTGGAATGTTTCAGCGGGGTAAAAATAGCCAAAGCTGAAGGAAGATGTTCCTGGGGTGATTTTACCTCGAGAAAAACCAGAAGAATGCACAGTGAAACAGCTTCAAATTAGCGTTCCGAAGAAAACATACATATTCTGCTGATATTCTCGCTGGAAACGGCTTAGTTTGGGTCCCAGGCTATCACTCTTTTCCGAAGTGAGCTATTGAATATTCACGAGCATTAAATGCGAGTTACACGTTTCAACGCGGCCAGCATTAGATAACATCGAGTGAAGTCAGATTGTTTCTTTCAGTAAATTACATGAAGAACAACTTAAGTCCAACTTTACTGTGTAATATAAAAGTGAAATAGAAAAACTCCAGTGTAATGCTTTGAACCTGGGTCACTTGCTTTATAGCCTACATCCATATCCACTACACCATCGAGGACTAGCTGCCAAATCCAGTAATTTTTAAAATATACATGTTCTTATATATGCCGTACCCCATTACAATATTTGAAAGCTAACCGTTTTCAGTTCAGTGCTTAACCCTAATCACTGCAGATCAGTGCTTAACTCTCTACTGTGTTCTCTCCATAACTGGCGCTNATATGCCGTACCCCATTACAATATTTGAAAGCTAACCGTTTTCAGTTCAGTGCTTAACCCTAATCACTGCAGATCAGTGCTTAACTCTCTACTGTGTTCTCTCCATAACTGGCGCTCTGTAGTTTTGGTTTTTCCAGCTATTCTAGCCTCATTCTACATCCCAGTTTCGTTCCATTATGAAAATAATGCGTTGTGTAAAATTCATAAGGTGTCCAATCTGGCTTCACTCGATGTTATCTAATGCTAACCTTTCAACCCCCTGTGAGTTCTGGTTACAATACATTTTAGTGTCATAAGATTAAGATTTTGTGAGTTCTTAAGGGATTGCTTTATATACAAATGTATTGCCTAAGACAAATTTAGCATAAACACTTTGTTTGTAGATAACACTGTTCCACTTGCCAGAACATGTCCTCCCATTACCCGAGTATCCTTATTTGGAAATATTCACAAGCAAACATTTTTTTTATATGCGGCTCCTGCTGCAAGCAACTTTTTTTGTGTCTCCGTCTTCCTGCAAACACTTTTTTTTTTAACTTACATACAATTTATTTCAGTGTTTACAGCCTATGCAAACAATTTATTTCAAAATTTTCCGTATTTGAGCATACTTGTATAATTGTTCATTTTCGTATTAGTTCAATAGGCTTATTTGTGAATCTGTTACCATAGTAACTTTTTCCTTTTCTTCTTTATATTTGAATTGTTGTGTATTTCAGTTAACGTTTAGTAATCCTGTATTATATACGTAGGATAATGACTTCGCTCTTAGGCCGTCTAAAAATTACCTTTCCATTTCTAGATCTTTTAGAAACAGCGGGTCATTATTGTGGACACCGATCTTGAACAGTATATTGTTATTCGTTCCACTAACTCTTGTTCCATGGCCTTCTTAAAAATAATGACCTTAAGCTAGGCGTTCGGTGACTATTTTTAAATGTTGGAGACGAATGCAAGCTAGAAGAATTATTTACAAACTCTTCATACTTAAGGTAATTCAAGGCGTGCAAATGTAAATTATGTCATTGAAATTAAGGATTTAACTTGAAGAATTTGCCCCCTGTAAGGGAATCCAAGACAGTATTGGATTCTGGATTCCAGGCTGTGGATTCCTGATTCCAGGTACTTGATTCCAGTCTCTGTCAATGGAATCTGGATTCTGAATTCCAATCCTTAGTGGGATTCCGGATCCCTTGACCTGTACTCTGAATTCCGCAAGCAAAAATTTCACGGATTCCGGAATTGGGATTCTCCTACATGGGGCGATGAAGAAAGTTCTTTTGGTGTCGCAAAAGAATCTAAATCCTGGTAAAATTTGCGTCGAAACAACTTTTCCTACCTTTGCAAGTTTTCCCGTCACCAGAAAATCCATTCTTGCAAGTACAGATGTAAGATCCATCATTGTTGGTACAAGCTGCATTGACGTCACAAAGAGGGACAGAAGAAGCACATTCGTCGATATCTGAATAATAAAATCAAGGGTTGGGTGTCGAGTTCCCTGCGAACAAGCTCTCCCATTGCTGGCAGGCTAAAGTTATGTGTTAGCATGTTAACTGGACAAGATGGCAAACTATTAAGCTCGGATTCTATGCGAGAAAACTTGATTTGTACCAGCCTCGTACCCAGGCCAGTCCGCGCTATCCGAGTAACCAGAGGAGGTTTAGAACCGAGCACGATAGCGCGAGGACGTCCTCGGTGAATTTTCCCGACAAGCTTGACAGGTGACGTCACATCCGAAATCGCAGGAGATGGCTGGGAACGAGGCTGGATTTATACCATTTATCGTTACTTCAATTGATATTATGCATTTCCGGTTAAATGACAAAAGAAATAAAAATACCTATTAAATGTTAACAAACAACTATAGATTGGACTCAGGTTTGCAAAGGAACGTTCACATTGTTAACGGAAGTATACCCGTGTCAGTACAACTTCTAACAATCTCCACCCAGAATTAACCATTGATTCAACACTATGACCTTGCCTGGGCCCATGAAGGCCTTTTTTTTCACGATCACGCTTTTCATGGGATGAGCATAGAATGTGCTCTATTGTATTCATGAAAGGTAGATCTTGCATCTGCGACTGATCAAAGAATTCCATCTCCACCCCCAGTTCAACAGAAACAGAAACAATTAGTACTATTTTGGTAGTTTTGGCGGAGAGCACCGAAAATAATACCAAAACGTTAACCTGCAACATTAAAGTACGTCCAAGCATTTGGCATATAGCATAAAGCATGCAGGACTGAACGACGGTTTAGACTTGCACTACAAATTATCCAGCCCCAGTCGCCACTACTTCTTTGCTGTAGAAATATTTTATTTCCACCGAATTCTCATTTACTCCCTACGCCATTAACATCAACAGACGGAATATAACTCTAAAATCTGTTCACAATTTAACCGTTCACCTCAAAGGAAATTTAATAGTCTATCGCAAAATCGAAAATACGTTGATAGAAGAGAATTATTCTTTTTGAAGATTATTTTATAGGCTAACTTATTCTCTTCATCTCAAAACATTCTCAGTTTTCCCTTTTTTGATTTTCCTTCTCCACTCATCCATACCTTACCTTTAAAAACTAAAACTCACCTTCAGTTTTAATATCACAGTATGCAAGAACGGACGTGCCAGTTTTAAGGGAAGAAAACCAATACTTTCGACTGATTGCATGACCTTCATTCATTTTTATTTCTAAACAGGTTTCAGCCGGTAGTTCAGGAATAGAACCTAGAGGTACTGAAAGAAGACATATAATTTCGTTTATTATTAATTTTGATAGACAGTTAATCATCAGGGGCACCCAACGAATCTGTTCCTCACTTTATCTGTTCCCCATAGGAATCTTGCTGGCTGGCAAAATATTAGGTGTTCCAATGAGCTGGCTGGGAAATTTCTTATTGCTAGAGGCTTTGGCTGGGAATTACTGACTTTTCTAGCATTTCAAGCCGAGCTGGCTTAGAAACTCTGAAGACCGAGGACGACTGAAAAAAAAGTATCCCTTCCCTCCCCCGCGAGAGTAGTGACAAAACATTTGACGGCTGGCCAGAGAGATCGCGTTCGCGGAAAAAACCGGTTTTGTGTCCGTTATTTTTGCGAGGGATTTCAAAGCGCGCGGATGTCTGCACATGTACAGATCGAAAAACTTTCCTCATTTACATGTAAGATTAATTCCCATTGTTATTTTATCTGTATGCTGAAGTTCTCGTGATGTTCTTCTACACTGAATTGAGACGAATCGAGTGCATCTAACAGCAGTAATTTGTATTTTCATTCACAGATTTAAGTTTCGGCGCCCTGTAGTGTGTGTTCAGCGTTTTCGGAGGTAAGGCTTCTTATTTTAGTTCTGTTAATGCTTTTTTCAGTCGGTTATCCGTGTTAGTCTAGTGCGTGATGACCTTTTACAGTTGAAGCGAACTGAGCCAACAAATTTTAAAAAAACTGACAGCAGTATTTTTGTTTACAGTTAGGCCGTGTGGGCAGCCACCGGATCGAGTCGGTGTTTCCTCACACACAAGGTAAGAATCAAGAAAAATTCGTACTTATTTTAATGCAAGTTATTTCGCTAAAAAGACGGTTTGTTTCTCTCGACAACTCCAGCAAAGCCTCTGTTTTTGTGTTAACATAGAAACCAGCCTTTGTATATGTAGCCAGAAGGCAGATAACAAACATGCACTGAAAAGTAATAAGAGCTGTGTCACGCTTTTAGCTTGGTTTCCATAAGCTAAAATTCTCAGCCAAAAATAAGGAAACCCCAATTAACGACTTCAGTTTGAAAAAATGGACATTGTCAAATGATAAGAACCCACTTGCACGTGAGGATGGCAAAAGACGGCTTGGATGCAAATGAATTAAAATATGAATTACTATGGTGTTAACTATAGTTTTTCTTTTCCCTGACTAAGCAAACTTTGTTGGTTCTGGCCAGACTGCGGTTTTATTTGTCAGAATGCATCTGATGCTCAGCTGTTTTGTATTGGATTGAGTACTTAATTAAGACATTAATACTACTGTTCATACAGTGTATGTGTCAGCAATAACAGCTGATCAATCAACACATACATTGACAGTAAAAATTAATTGTTATTGTGACCAATTCAACGGCACTAATTCTTTTTTACTTGGCAGATTGTTTAATTCTCCTCTTCAACAATCTTTAGTCATACTCTGTCTCTGTACAAAACAAAGCTAAGTTAGGATTGTGACGATGAGCATTCACTGTTTGTTCATTCTTACGACCCTCTCTCTTCCATTGGATTGAGTTATTCTTGTGACAATGGGGATTCAATGTTTGTTCATTCTTACGACCCTCTTTCTTCCATCAAATTGGGTTAGGCTTGTGATGATGGGCATTCACTGTTTGTTCATTCTTACGACCCTCTCTCTTCCATCAGGTTGGGTTAGGCTTGTCACAATGGGCATTCACTGTTTGTTCATTCTTACGACCCTCTCTCTTCCATTGGGTTGAGTTAGGCTTGTGACGATGGGCATTCTCTGTTTGTTCATTCTTACGACCCTCTCTCTTCCACCAGGTTGGGTTAGGCTTGTGACGATGGGCATTCACTGTTTGTTCATTCTTACGACCCTCTCTCATCCATCAGGTTAGGTTAGGCTTGTGACAATGGGAATTCACTGTTTGTTCATTCTTACGACCCTCTCTCTTCCAGCGGGTTGAGTTAGGCTTGTGACGATGGGCATTCACTGTTTGTTCATTCTTACGACCCTCTCTCTTCCATCAGGTTGGGATAGGCTTGTGACGATGGGCATTCACTGTTTGTTCATTCTTACGACTCTCTCTCATCCATCAGGTTGGGTTAGGCTTGTGACGATGGGCATTCTCTGTTTGTTCATTCTTACGACCCTCTCTCATCCATCAGGTTGGGTTAGGCTTGTGACGATGGGCATTCACTGTTTGTTCATTCTTACGACCCTCTCTCTTCCATCAGGTGGGGTTAGGCTTGTGACAATGGGCATTCACTGTTTGTTCATTCTTACGACCCTCTCTCATCCATCAGGTTGGGATAGGCTTGTGACGATGGGCATTCACCGTTTGTTCATTCTTACGACCCTCTCTCTTCCATCAGGTTGGGTTAGGCTTGTGACAATGGGCATTCACTGTTTGTTCATTCTTACGACCCTCTCTCTTCCACCAGGTTGGGTTAGGCTTGTGACGTTGGGTATTCTTTTTTTGTTCATTCTTATATGACCCTCTCTCTTCCATCTGGTTGAGTTAGGGAATTCATGGTTTGCACTGAGAACTTTGCTTCCTTTGTGGCCCTCTATTCAGTTGTCTATTAAGTTTCCATTTTCCTTTAATGTGAATGGACGCACATCCATGTCATTGGGAGGAAGATGCTTAACAGTTTGTTCAATCATGGTAACATTTTAAATTTTGATAAAATAAAAAATTATTTATAGCGTGGAAAAAGTCCATTCATTTGGACCAGTTCAACTGCTAGACCTAATTATGGCCTGCAGAAATTTTACTTGATCTTGTTATCCATCCATTTCAGTATTCTGGTATTGTGTGGAGGAAATTTATAAATAATGACTGTCATATTAGGCGAATCAAGGAATTTTTTTTATTTTTCAGTTGTGTGGAAAGATATACAATATAGCTAAATTGGTTGACTGCAGCACCATGATAACAAATAGATTGCTACCTCAACCTTTTTTTATAGTTGTTTGGCGCAGACATTCATGATAAATAAATATGTTTCAACTTAAGCGTAAGGTTTCTACACCTAAAAATTTAAAGGGGTGGAGTCTACTTTTTACAAATACCACCAATCACAGGACTCCCACATAAAGTAAGTAACCATTGGTGTTACTGAATTTAGAAGAAATGTATGAGAGTTGCGAAAAGTTCCATAAGATTGTACTATTCTGCAATAACTATTTACATATGAAATGAGAATAAACTAACCTTCAATTTCAAGGACTTGCATTGCTCAGGAAAAAATCGCTAAAATTTGCCATTTCCATCCATACAATGTAACAACAACAGCACAACATTTCAGATAAAGGTTGGTTTATCCTCATCTTATATGAAAATATAATTTTGATCACAGAATAGTACAGTAATAATTATGGAACTTGTTGCTATTCTCGTACATTGCTTCTGAATTCAATAATACTAAGGGTCACGCACTTTGTGTGGGGCCCCTGTGATAACAATAGCTTTGATTAGTAAGGCTATAACTAGATCTGAAAACATCACACTCAATCAGTATTGCTGCTGGCTGTAGTCAATTAACATTTGTCTCTTATTTTTTCCTTTTTAATATTATTTTTCAGGCTGTGGAAATAGCAAGGAACTGGGCATTACCTTGGTTTATCCTAGCAAGTATGTTAAACAACTGCCTTGTGTACAATGCTGCTAGGTGTTATGAATTCTGCGCTAACTTTCCAGGCTCTCAAAAGTCTCCCAAAATTCAGACTGCTCCAGACAGCAGAACATTTAGAGTATCATATACTAACACAAGAATTACAGCTGTTTGTAAAAAAAAACAAAACAGAATGACACGCAAATAGCAGGCTATTGCAACAACACTTTGCGAAGAACTGCAAGCAAGCAACTGCGTATATAGATCACGAGGTGCCCCTGCTAGAGGCATCGGGCCACCCCCAGTATAGCAGGAAAAACTGCAAACCAGCATTGTTTCGAGGTTACCTTTGCCTAAATTACATTTAGTCACATTAATATAAGTATTGCTATTGTTATCATTATTATTATTCCTTTCATTTATATTAATTAATCTAATTCCTGGCTGGGAAATAAATTTGATCAGCTGGCCGGGAAACCAACCAATTTTATCTAGCTGGCTGGGAAATTTCTTGTGTGTCTTGCTGGGAAAAAGGAACAGATAATATTTTCCCAGCAACACTAAAAAACACGTGAAGATGCCTTAATAACATTTATTTTCATTAATGGGGGTATAATAATGCATTTTACAAGAAATTGGTCGTTGGGTGCTCCTGAATCATGCTTTAGAGAAAGCAGCTTCATCACAGCTTTAATATAATCCTTCAACTGATTGGTTATCTGTTGCCCTGATATCGACGCCCAAGTAATTGGAAAGTACTCACCATTCGGTACTCTTTTATTGGGACAGTTGCATTTGAATGGGTTACTTTTTATCATTAACTCCCGATATGTGGTTGTCCAAATTTGACTGACAACTGATTAGAGACCATTGCTTCGACCTTAATCTGCATTCATCAGTCATCGCAATTATTTATAATGAATTGTAAACTGTTTTTTACCTCTGTTCCTATCACGTTTGTAGTAAAATCTGTCTGGATCTGAAATGAAATCCTCAGGTCTGGCTTCCTTAGTTCTGTTACTAAACTCGCACTTGAGGAGAGAGATCACCCAGTTAAAGCTTTGGCATCGATTGTCTTCGCGACAAACTTGCACGCATGTATGCGGGAGTTCTGCCAACATCGTGTTGTAGATATGTCCACGTAACATCCAGCCGAAGATGGATATCTCGGATCCGCATCGCTGAGTTACTGTTTTGTAGAGTAGTTGACCCAACACTAAAAGAACTGATATACGAAAGAGCTGCCTCATTGTCATATCCTTGAAAAGACAATTTGGGGCTAAATAATTTATTACACTGAATCTGATTAATAAATACGATTTTATATATACATCTTTATATTTTTCAGGTCGTTTTGATTCACTTATTCTTGCCGTTTAAACAGTATTACCCGCCGCGGATAATACAAGTGAACCAACAATTACTTAATTTAAACTGTTTTCAGACTACTCGGCAATTTTTGATAAATTTTAAAATAACCTTTTATACAAAGGCATCCATTAATAGAAATGGTATAGACCATTTCTAAGTTGGTAAAACTCTCACTTTCAAAGTGAGGCTAAGAGCAAAACCTTTCTTGTGAAAATGAGTTTTATTTTGTGAAAAGACCGAAACCCGATTTACGGGGACTAGCTCAGCGGGTCGGCTTCACAAAAGACACAGTCACGTTCTCTGTTGGTTCAGCACACTTTGAATTTTCGAAGCTTTAACTTTGTTTTAAGGCAACTAATAATCTCACACTAGTTTTCTCTATCTCTCTCTTAACCCTTTAGCTTAATTTAACCCTTTCTTATTTCTTTTCTTTTTTTTTTTTTTTTTTTTTTTTTTCGCTGAACGGAAAATTAGATCGATTTTAAAAAGATTTTTTGTAACTGCAGCAGTAGTAACTTTAGTTATTTTCTTTTTTCTTTTACCGTAAATTTATCCGCAATTTCATTTAAAATCAACTTCCTTTAAGGGCCAATTTTTTCCTTTTTCGCCAACAAATATTTAATTATAAAAATTTTTTTTTTTATTTTATTAGGCTTGTGACGTTGGGTATTCTTTTTTTGTTCATTCTTATATGACCCTCTCTCTTCCATCTGGTTGAGTTAGGGAATTCATGGTTTGCACTGAGAACTTTGCTTCCTTTGTGGCCCTCTATTCAGTTGACTATTAAGTTTCCATTTGCCTTTAATGTGGATGGATGCACATGCATGTCATTGGGAGGAAGATGCTTAACAGTTTGTTCAATCATGGTAACATTTTAAATTTTGATAAAATAAAAAATTATTTATAGCGTGGAGAAAGTCCATTCATTTGGACCAGTTTAACTGCTAGACCTAATTATGGCCTGCAGAAATTTTACTTGATCTTGTTATCCATCCATTTCAGTATTCTGGTATTGTGTGGAGGAAATTTATAAATAATGACTGTCATATTAGGCGAATCAAGGAATTTTTTTTATTTTTCAGTTGTGTGGAAAGATATACAATATAGCTAAATTGGTTGACTGCAGCACCATGATAACAAATAGATTGCTACCTCAACCTTTTTTTATAGTTGTTTGGCGCAGACATTCATGATAAATAAATATGTTTCAACTTAAGCGTAAGGTTTCTACACCTAAAAATTTAAAGGGGTGGAGTCTACTTTTTACAAATACCACCAATCACAGGACTCCCACATAAAGTAAGTAACCATTGGTGTTACTGAATTTAGAAGAAATGTATGAGAGTTGCGAAAAGTTCCATAAGATTGTACTATTCTGCAATAACTATTTACATATGAAATGAGAATAAACTAACCTTCAATTTCAAGGACTTGCATTGCTCAGGAAAAAATCGCTAAAATTTGCCATTTCCATCCATACAATGTAACAACAACAGCACAACATTTCAGATAAAGGTTGGTTTATCCTCATCTTATATGAAAATATAATTTTGATCACAGAATAGTACAGTAATAATTATGGAACTTGTTGCTATTCTCGTACATTGCTTCTGAATTCAATAATACTAAGGGTCACGCACTTTGTGTGGGGCCCCTGTGATAACAATAGCTTTGATTAGTAAGGCTATAACTAGATCTGAAAACATCACACTCAATCAGTATTGCTGCTGGCTGTAGTCAATTAACATTTGTCTCTTATTTTTTCCTTTTTAATATTATTTTTCAGGCTGTGGAAATAGCAAGGAACTGGGCATTACCTTGGTTTATCCTAGCAAGTATGTTAAACAA